GTCTTAACAGAAGAGAGAACTGATCTCCTGTAGAGTGGCTTTGAACCTAAATATACATTGTAACTAGTCTATCTAGATAATGTTAAGAAGTTCTCGGTGCAAAGAAATAGAAAGGTTACACTATAAAAAGAACTGGGAAGATGAACATGTTTTTTGCTTCTCAGGAAAACAGCTTCAGTGTTATCTTCAGCCCAACCCAATAACACTGCTATTGAGTTATGCTGGTTCAGTCTTTCCGTTATCAGTCATCAAAGCAATGATACTTTTCACCCTTCATCTATGGGACCATCCCCCTCTTTTCCTCGCCATTAGCTGCATTTTTAAAAATGCCTTAATATTCTGATAATATACTAATATAATATACTAATATACTAGTATTTACTAATATACTAATTAAGAGGTTTAGTCTGGCTTGAGGACTGACAACAGGTTCTCTCACACCTGTTGTTTGAGTTTTGAATCTTTTTTTTATTTTTATTTATTTTATTTATTTATTTAATTGAATTTTATTAATTTACTTAAGCTTCTTGCTTCTGATACCATAAAATTGGCAAATGAGCTTTATGCCTATGTTAGATTGCTCATTTTCTTTCTTTGTATTAGCATCAGGTTATGTTGCACATTGATCGGGCATTTTAGACTTAAGAGGTTACAACAGATGTTGTCATTCCATTTTTCCTCTGATCTGCAAGCTGATACCCTTAGTCTGAGCCTGGACTTTCATAGGTCTTCCTCTTTAATTTGGATAGGATGACACTGTTCATGAAGTATCACTATCTGCTCATTTGTCCAGCTAATCCTTAGCAGGATTTTTGAATTTCCCTATAGCATTCCCCTTGGCTCATCTCCACAGTCATCATATGTTGTAAGTTGTTATAAGCAGTTCCTCTGGGCTGAGATGAAAAATCCCTCCATCAAGGGCACGGATACTTTTTCTTCATACCCCAGGGCGATCTCTGGGTCTATCTTGCAGAACGTAGCCACCTGGTTCACTCCATCAACATTTGTGAAATACTTTGCATGCAAAGAACAGATGGTCTTTGGTAAAGCAAAGTTCTTCGCTGCTTATTTTTCCTTATTTTCTATTTTCCAGGTATGTAGGTTAACAATCATCATATAAAATACTGGTTAAAAACTATGAGAAAAAAAAGTAGGGTTTGTTTTTTTTAAAAAAACACAACTGAAAACAATGTACTTTAAGGGTTATTTGTACTGATACCCTCAGTTTTGTTCCCATTTTTATGGGCTATAAATTCAAGAGTTCATTTCAGTAACTTTGGCGATAATGCAAAAAATATAAAAAAAAAGTGCTGTTTAATATGGCACTGAAATCAGATAATTGTTGCGGGATGCAAATTGGTTCTCTAATAGGATCACCAACCTGCTCTGTCCCCCACTGATTACATCACTGATCACTGACCATATAATCAGTCACATAGAAGACTAACCATTTTGGCCATCCTCTTTGCTTTGTACTTGGACAGAGATTTAAGCAAGAGTTTACTCTGAATGTTACAGCCTATCTCTTATTGAATCTGCACTTAGCCAGTTGAGGACTCTATTTCAGGTACCGTAGTTTAATCCCTCCTGGTGAGGAGTGGCCAAGTCAACCTTTGCAGGATGGTTGTAAGGACTATTCTAGTAACTCAGATTCTTGGAGTNTTTCAGCGGGCAGGACTGGCCTAGGGGTATTTTAAATTGGTTTTAGCCAAATTTTAGTAGAAGCGGCCGATTTAAATATTTATTTTTAATGATTTTTTAAAACTTTGTATTGTACTGTATTAAACTGTTTTTAAACTGGCTGTAAGCCGCCCTGAGTCCTACGGGAGAAGGGCGGGGTATAAATATAATAAAATGAAATGAAAATGAAAATGATGCCTCTTTCTTTCCTTTCTCTATGCTCCTAATTCCTGATAGTTTTTAATTTATGTAGAACAGAACAGAACAGAATAGATCTTGGAGGTCTTCTAGTCAACCCCCTGCTTAGGCAGGAAACCCTATACCATTTCAGACAAATGGCTGTCCAGTCTCTTCTTAAAAACTTCCAGTGTTGGAGCATCACAGCTTCTGGAGGCAGGTTGTTCCACTGGTTAATTGTTCTAACTGTCAGGAAGTTTCTCCTTCGTTCTAGGTTGCTTCTCTCTTTGATTAGTTTCTATCTGTTGCTTCTTGTCCTGCCTTCAGGGGCTTTGGAGAATAGCTTGACTCCCTCTTCTTTGTGGCAGCCCCTAAGACAGTGGTGGCGAACCTATGGCACGCGTGCCAGAGGTGGCACTCAGAGCCCTCTCTGTTGGCACGTGCACCAGCACCAGCAGTAGCAGGTCTATTAGGCTGCCACTGCTGCCCGGAGCAGGAGCCCCGCCCAGCACAAAGGAGACAAAGCGGCTGACTAGCAAGCTCAAGTAGAGGTGGTAGAGCAGAGGTCACCAACCAATGTCAGTTGGTGGACTGGAAGAAAAGGGAGGCTTTGAAAAGTGGCTTTGAACCTAAATATATATTGTAACTAGTCTATCTAGATAATGTTAAGAAGTTCTCGGTGCAAAGAAATAGAAAGGTTACACTATAAAAAGAACTGGGAAGATGAACATGTTTTTTGCTTCTCAGGAAAACAGCTTCAGTGTTATCTTCAGCCCAGCCCAATAACACTGCTATTGAGTTATGCTGGTTCAGTCTTTCCGTTATCAGTCATCAAAGCAATGACACTTTTCACCCTTCATCTATGGGACCATCCCCCTCTTTTCCTCGCCATTAGCTGCATTTTTAAAAATGCCTTAATATTCTGATAATATACTAATATAATATACTAATATACTAGTATTTACTAATATACTAATTAAGAGGTTTAGTCTGGCTTGAGGACTGACAACAGGTTCTCTCACACCTGTTGTTTGAGTTTTGAATCTTTTTTTATTAATTTACTTAAGCTTCTTGCTTCTGATACCATAAAATTGGCAAATGAGCTTTATGCCTATGTTAGATTGCTCATTTTCTTTCTTTGTATTAGCATCAGGTTATGTTGCACATTGATCGGGCATTTTAGACTTAAGAGGTTACAACAGATGTTGTCATTCCAGTTTTCCTCTGATCTGCAAGCTGATACCCTTAGTCTGAGCCTTGACTTTCATAGGTCTTCCTCTTTAATTTGGATAGGATGACACTGTTCATGAAGTATCACTATCTGCTCATTTGTCCAGCTAATCCTTAGCAGGATTTTTGAATTTCCCTATAGCATTCCCCTTGGCTCATCTCCACAGTCATCATATGTTGTAAGTTGTTATAAGGAGTTCCTCTGGGCTGAGATGAAAAATCCCTCCATCAAGGGCACGGATACTTTTTCTTCATACCCCAGGGCGATCTCTGGGTCTATCTTGCAGAACGTAGCCATCTGGTCCACTCCATCAACATTTGTGAAATACTTTGCATGCAAAGAACAGATGGTCTTTGGTAAAGCAAAGTTCTTCGCTGCTTATTTTTCCTTATTTTCTATTTTCCAGGTATGTAGGTTAACAATCATCATATAAAATACTGGTTAAAAACTATGAGAAAAAAAAGTAGGTTGTTTTTTTTTAAAAAAACTGAAAACAATGTACTTTAAAGGTTATTTGTACTGATACCCTCAGTTTTGTTCCCATTTTTATGGGCTATAAATTCAAGAGTTCATTTCAGTAACTTTGGCGATAATGCAAAAAATATAAAAAAAAAAGTGCTGTTTAATATGGCACTGAAATCAGATAATTGTTGCGGGATGCAAATTGGTTCTCTAATAGGATCACCAACCTGCTCTGTCCCCCACTGATTACATTTTATTTATTTTTTTATTTATTTATTTATTAAATTTATATACCGCCCTATCTCCCTTACGGGACTCAGGGTGGTGAACAGGCGATACTGATCACTGACCATATAATCAGTCACATAGAAGACTAACCATTTTGGCCATCTTCTTTGCTTTGTACTTGGACAGAGATTTAAGCAAGAGTTTACTCTGAATGTTACAGCCTATCTCTTATTGAATCTGCACTTAGCCAGTTGAGGACTCTATTTCAGGTACCGTAGTTTAATCCCTCCTGGTGAGGAGTGGCCAAGTCAACCTTTGCAGGATGGTTGTAAGGACTATTCTAGTAACTCAGATTCTTGGAGTTGGATCCTGGCTTTCTAGCTCTTGTGAAGTTGACTGATGCATTGCCTTGCTGTGTTATCTGGGGAGAGTCATCTTTCTAATAACAGCACTTTAAGCATTTAACTGTTTGTAATGTTCAAAATTATACTTTATTTACATCTGTCTGCTTGCCATCTTGAATTGGCAAGATATAAGATGCTCATAGCTAATTCTTTTTATAAATTGGAGAATCCCAATGTGATTCCCATTACATTATTGACAATTTGGGGAAGATTCAGTTGGTTAATTATGATAGCAATAGCACTTAAACTTATATACTGCTCCATAGTGCTTTACAGCAATCTCTGGGCGGTTTACAATGTCAGCACATGGCTTCCAGCATTCTGGGTCCTCATTTTACAGAAGGATAGAAGGCTGAGTCAACCTAGAGCTCCATCTAGATCAACCTCCAGGCTGTGAGCAGAGTTTGCCTGCATTACTGCATTACTAGCAGAGCTTCTTTGAGAAGAAGCCTAATTATAATGATCTCATTTCAGTTTTCTTGCCTATATCACAGATATGCCTCAGTAAACCTTAGTCTTGCATTGCATCGTGCCATTGTATTCCAATGTGATATTGCATAATTATCATTGGGTTGAACCTAAGCTTGGGTTACAATTAGAACCAATTGGAAATGTCCCATTAATTTCAACAGGTTTACTTTGCATCTGAATAAAAAATAAACAAAGTAAAAATAAATAAAAATAATAAAAACCTGTAGCAATAATGAAGGTCATAGGACGTCTTCCATTATAAAAAATAATTCAGTTGGTGATGATATTAACAGTGCCTTTGAAAAAAAATTAATGCTAGTCTCTCTGGGATTTTTTTCCCCCTTCAGTTATTTGCCACCTTCCTTGCATGAACGGTGGGCAGTGCAGCTCAAGAGACAAGTGCCAATGTCCTCCTAATTACACTGGTAAACTTTGTCAGATCCCTGTGCAGAGTGGAAGTCCTTCGCAACTTTATCATAATTCTCAACAAGTAAGCAAAACTGTGGGATCTCATGTCATCCATTCCACGCATACCTTACCACTGACTGTGCCTGGGCAGCAAGGAGCCAAAGGTAAATGTTTTTTTTTTTAATATCTCTTCTCTCTGGCTAGATTTCTCTGTTGGCTGCAGTGAGACTTTGTAATTTAACCTGCCAAGCTATCAGAGACTTTGGTAACATCTCCCCACATAGCTGCGATCTGGCATTCAAATCTACTGGAATGACAGAATGTTCTTTCTTGCATTCATTGCATTCTTGCATTTACAGTCATTAATTGTGAAAAAAAAATGTTAATGAAAATGAATTGAAAAGGATTTTTATCTTCTTTGTGAAGCTGAGAAAGCATGATTTTCAAATGAAAATGACCTATCTTTCAATGCTTGGTGGGTGTTCCTTACCATTTTCATATCTGCGTTGTCAGACAACAGTTTAGAAGTGTGTGTCATTAATTTCTGAGCTTGTGGTTTTCATGCATACAGTTTGTATCTCCTCTGTTCATTTTAATTTAATGGAAATCATTTGTTCAACCTTTTCACTTGGACATTACAATTAATCAAACCCTGTAACTTCATCAATATATTCCAAAGTCACATGCTGTATCTACTTTTCACATTAGATTTCAAGATATGGAAATACTGGCCTTTTTTTGACAGATTTCTTTTATTTATTACTTATTTATTTATATTTCATATTTCTAAATCGCCCACCTTCTTCAAAGAGGGGCTTTTAAATAGTTCTCCTATAAAATGTCAATCTGTTCTTAAATTCCTTAAAATGTCTGAGAAACATTTTTTTGGAACATTTTTTCTCAGATGTTGCAAACATTTAATTCCACACTTAAAGTTGAATCACTAGTTCATACCTTTGCTAAATGTTAAAAAATTGTATACGCAAGAAAATCTTGAGTATTTCAAAAATAATTTGATGACCAGCTTTTAAGATATTTTTTTCTCCAATGTAATTCAGTGTCATCTATGTTAAATTGTATTTTGACCCAGAATTTAATAATCATATTCACAGGTCATCTTATGCCAAAAAAGGGTCTTAATCTACAATTCCCAATCATTTTGAACATCTTTTCTTCTCTCACTGTCTACGTGGCTCGCACATTATCTAAGCTAAGGCTTATGTCTAAGTGTACCCTAACCAATATTTATACAAGAATAAAATTGGATTTAAAATTGACTAATGATCCTTGTACATTTGTGTGCACTTAATCATAATTCTGGATTCTAAATCATGAGGAACCTCTCCTGAGGGAAGAGAAAGTTTGCATATGTATGTGTGCTTTTAACATTTTGCCCTGTACTTTTTATAATCCAGCAGTCTTTGCAAACTTTAAGGTCTTTAAACTGCTGCTATGAAAATCAATACATAATTTCCAGACTGAGCAATGTCTTCTCTTGTTTGGAGATTTCTAATGCTTGGTTTCTTACTTTTGCAGTAAAAATCCCTCCTAACTTTGTAAATATCCATGTTAAACATCCACCTGAAGCTTCAGTGCAATTTCATCAAGTTTCAAGGATTGACAGCACATCAGCAGGGCAAAAACCAAAACCAAAGCCCCCCACCTCAGGACATTCCCAGAGTCCTTATCAAAACCTACCATTTCAGAAGACCCAGAAAATTCATTCAACCTTCATTCACCAGCAGCCTATCAGTCATAGTTTTCCTGTTTCTGCTAAAGCACAACTTGGACGATGTTTCCAGGAGACAGTTGGGACCCAGGTAATTTTTTTTTTTTTAAAAATGCCTTTAAAAGTAACTATGCATTTCTCGTAAACAAAAAACTTGTTTTGTTATCTGTAGTAGACATTGTGCTATAAAAATGACTTTACAAATCTGTTAAGAGTTAAAATTTAGGGCAAAAATAATGTTTTTGCTATATGGGAACTGCATTTTGCATCATCTTGATGGTTTTCTTCCCCTAAAATTCAAGACATAATATAGGACAGCTATCAAAAGTTTGTGTTTTAAATGAAAATAAGGAGTTCCTAAATAACCTCCACATATTTATCTTCCAATGTTGGTGTATATTTTAAAAAACTACAATTCTTCACATTTGCCTACAAATGCCATAAATCTAAATACATTTTTGATTAAAAATAAAATTAAATAAATAAAAACAGCTTCCTAATTAAGTTATTAATTTGTATGTTAGCAATGTAGTTGATTAGTTCAAATTAGTAATATTTGTTTGAACAATTTGTTGAAATGCATTCAGATTTTATGTGTGTTTGAGTAGTATATAAAACATCTCTTTGGAGATGGAACTTTAACTCAAGATTTGGTCTTTTTCTTCAAATATAGACTTTTCCTTCTCCATTCAAAGCCTAGACATTGAAAGTAGATTTGCATACCAACTTTTAATCCGTAGATTTCATTCTAGATAGAACATTCATGAATACTATTACTATTTTTGAACTTTGGTAACCAAATAACATTTTTTTAGTTCTTAGTTATCAATGGGGTATCTTGAAAGTTATATTTTGTGATTTATATGATCTCATTACTAACAGATTTGTGAACCACTTTAAATCACATAGACCATCATTTTAAGCTGAAATTTATTATAATGCTCAAGATACTAAACCTTAAACATTGCAGCTGGAGATTGTAAACCAAAGAAATAACTGATCAGAAATGAGGATTTATTCAAAAGAGAGAAGGAGAAAGGGAGATGTTTGAACTGGGAAACAGCCTAAGATTTACTGGAAAGTCCCAGACTAATCTCTGCCATAATTCTACAGTCCAGTTGCCATTTTCATGATTATGGAATAAGTTTGGCACAAAATAAGGACACAATATTGGCTCCATGAAAATACAAAAAAAAAGTGGCAAAGAATAAAGAGGCTACAATAGGGAAAACTAGGAGAGATTATGAAGATGGAGAAAAAGAACTGATTTTGATTTTTTTTTTTTTGTATTATTATTTCCAGGTTACCTAAACCTGAGTGTTCAATACCATCTTCTTTATTTGAGAATTAATTTTGTGTGTTTAATTTTTACATTTTACCTTGGTTATTAATGAACTTCATTGTAGCCTACATAGATAAATGTTAAAATGCCAATAATACAATGTCACTTTCATGTTAAAAAAACACCAGAGAATTTGGGAAAACCTTCCTCCAGCCTACGCACATGCAATTGATCCAGAAGAGATTAGACAACCATTTGTCTGAGATGATAAAGAGCCTCCTGCTTGAGCTAGACTAGAAGACCTCCAAGGTCTCTTCCAATCTGTTATTCTGTTAATACTTTATCACAATTAATATTAAAAATGGAGTTAGTTTTGCATGCAGCAATCTCTCTCTCTCTCTCTCTCCCTCCCTCCCTCCTTCCCTCCCTCCCTCCCTCCCTCCCTCCCCTCTCTCTATATATTTGTGTGTGTGTGTGTGTGTGTGTGTGTGTGTGGCTTGATACTAATAGTAATTACAGGTAGTCCTCAACTTACAATAGTTCATTTAGTGAATGTTCAAAATTACAACAGCACTGAAAAAGTAAATTATGACCGTTTTTCACAGTTACAACATTTCCAGCATCCCCATGATCATGCTTAGCAACTGGTTCATATTTATGTCTGTTGCTGTGTCCCAAGGTCATGTGATCTCCATTTTGCGACCTTCTGATAAGCAAAGACAATGGGGAAGCCAGATTCACTTAACAACCGGGTTACTAACTTATCAACTGCAGCGATTCACTTAACAACTGAGGCAAGAAAAGTCGTAAAAAGGGGCAAAATTCACTTAACAAACATCTCACTTAACAACAGAAATTTGGGGCTCAGTTGTGGTTATAAGTCGAGGACTACCTGTGTTTAATTTGGAATTAAAGATACATTAATTCAAAGTAATTTAACTTCTCTGGGCTAACAGTTTTTTGAAGTAATATGGCAGACATATCCCTTAAAGATGAAGTAGTCTGCACCCTTATTCTAAAGGCACTCATATCTAAAAAAATGCTTTGTTTATTATATACTAAGTTTGCAAAATAATAGTGATGGATGTGAAATCTTAACTGCATAAGGTTGCGTAAAAGTTAAACCCTGAGTGATGTATTCAAATACTGTCGTAGAGAGTGGGGTTGTTCCAAGACATTTTGTTGCTGAAGCAGAGCATCTGCTGAGAATAACTAGAGCCAGTCAGGTTGTTTTGGAATATAGGGCATAAAATATCAATAGCATTTGTTTTTATCCTTTCACAGTAAATTTCAAGCATAAACAATTACTCGTAATTTGCTCAGAGCCTAAAATCAGAAGGCAGTCGATTTCTTAACTGGAGACCCAGCTTTGGAAAGTCTGAACAAAACAATATCCTGAATAAATATTCTTTCCATGGAGTAGTTCCCACTTGAAGACCATCCTCTGCCTTCATTTTTTTTGCAGTGACCTCTACACCCTTATACATTTCCAATAGCCAGTAAATCCTTTAGCATACGTGCATTTCTCTTTAATGGATGGCATTTTATTTTTAAAATATTATTCTGGATAATGGCTGGATGGGGCTTTGGTAATCTATTCAATATTATTTAATCAAAAGTAATATTTATATGATACACTGTTTGGCTTTCTAGAATGTTTTATTCCAGGCTTATTCTGCAAATACCCTAAAGATTTGCGTTATCTCAAGATAATTTTAACACTAAAATCTTGAAAAGCTACATGATATCTTAGGTGAAAGGGATGAGTTTTCTTGTTTCTTTTCTATGTTTATTCGGGAATGGAATCATGTCATTCAGAGTTGTGTAGCCTTGTTTGGCTGCTTTTTTTTTTAAATGTAAGCAGTTTAAATAATTGTGTCTGTTCTGAGTAATCTCCCTAAAGTTACTTCAGTCAGCAGTTGTCACTGTTTATATATTTTCTTGCACAGTGGATTTGTGAAGTTGGCTTCATAGTCTAAAACCTTTTATTAAATTACTTTGGGATTAGGGGTGATTTTACTATCTGCAGATGAGACCAATAATGTAATGCACATGTGTATACAGCCTTTTCTCTGGCAAGCCACAGAGTTTGCTGCAGCAACTGATTATCTTGTAACTTCTGGCCTTTATTTTTAGACTGGCTTTCAAAGGTGCTATATTTATTACCTTTCTTAAATAATAATTTACGAAGAGATTATTTTATTTGCAAAGGACCGGTGAATCCACAGAACCTTCCAATGGAGGCTTCCCAGTGGTAGGAGAATCCAGGGTAGCATTTTTTCCCCCTTGATTCCCTTTTTGAACCCTCAGATAGCGAGGAGTGGGGGGTGGCACTGAACGCTTCAAGGAAAAGAGGGCTTGAGAAATTTTACCAGTCACTTGTTTTCCAGTGCCAGCAAAAATAATCTCCGTGTAAGTCTGAACAGATGCTTGCATATTTAAATAAAGACACTAATACTTCATATATGTAGGACATATACATTTTAGAACAGTTACAGTTAGGGTTCAAATCAAAATACAGGTATGTGTATATGTTAGAATTATAAGCTTTAAGTTGGGTCTAGAAATAAGTGGGCACCCAGTAAAATTAAGGCTGATGAGAGATGGTACAAGAGGGTTGTGTTCCCCCCATATTATGCAGTAACTGAAGTATCAGAGCCTTGCTTGCTTATTCTGCAGCAATGAAAGAATCAGAGGAAAATTGGTCATGCCAGCTTAAAACGTCTTGAAACTTATTGGATTGTATTTGTGCGTTTGTTAGTATGCATTTAGTATTGAAGAAAGAAAAAAGTTAAGGCTGAACGTGGTTTTGGAAGAATTGATAAGGGGAATGGATAGCTGTTTTATAAATGGTGTTTGGTATGTATTGTTTTTCATGTTTTTATATGAGTCGTGGTGCAGTGGTTAGAATGCAGTACTGCAGGCTACTTCTGCTGCCTGCCAACTGCCAGCAGTTCGGCAGTTCGATTCTCACCGGCTCAAGGTTGACTCAGCCTTCCATCCTTCTGAAGTCGGTAAAATGAGGTCCCAGATTGTTGGGGGCAATATGCTGATTCTGTAAAACCGCTTAGAGAGGGTTATAAAGCACAGTAAAGCGGTATATAAGTCTAAGTGCTATTGCTATTATTTGGACACTATATTTCTGGGTCTATGTATATATTTTCTTAGTATTATGGAATGTACACGCAGCAGCCAAAATAAATTCAGCTGCAACCCTTGGCCTTTTTTTGTACCATTTAAAATAGTGGTAACCCTCATAACAAAACTGTATCCTGGATCTTTCTGAAAGCCAACAACATTGGTAAAAGCAAGCAGAGTAGCAAGTTCATATTCTTTTTCCTGGACTCATTCTCCACTCAGCTGCTTTACATTCTATTTTCATAAAAATGCTTTTGATAGGACTTAAAATATTGTAGCTTTATAGTGTTATTAATATAGATAGTAAAGCTTGTATTTCTAACGTGTGCCCTATTAATTTTTCTTATGACTAATGAGTGTTGAAATAGTTGTTGGATATTTTGAAAGTAGGATTAATATAATTTAATGCATATGTTGACCATGTGTCAGGGGTTTACATAGAAAAAGAAAAAGAAATAGATTTCCCCCCATTGTTACATCTATTTTGTTATAATTGTTATATTTTAATGTAGTCACTGTGGTTTAAATCATATATTGAGTTACTTAATGTATGTGTTTTCATGAAAATAATGCATTTTTCTACATATTTTAGCTACGCATGTAATGTATACAGCTATATAATCTTTATAGAATTTTATACGTAATGCGTTAGCTATGCAATGCATTTGCTA